TTGTTGCCTTGGTTGTTATAATCCACTTCAATATTGCAGAGAAGCAGCCATCATCCAGATGCTTCTTGATTTTTTAAAAAATAAAATAAAAATCCATGTGTTTAAATCTAGATTCTTGCATTAGATATGGTTTTTACTCCTTCCTCCCAGAATTCATTTTTTCATATTTAAGACAAATAGATATTTTTTCCCTAGTTTTCTACTCACAAGAGAAGTGTAATTAGGCCTTTTATTCGGGAAAGGAAGAGAAACAACACAGAGAATCATCAGCAGGTGACTGGATACAAGTAAGTTATATGTTAAGGATTTTTTTCTTAGAAAGGAAAAAACACTATTGTAGAAACCATGGATAATTTTCTTCTTTACAGCAAAAGTTAGTGATCGTAAAATTTTGAAACCTTTAATTGACCCTAAATTTGGAATTAAGGTTTTTGAAGTAAGTATTGAGTTGGCTATGTTCTTTTGCATTTTAGAAATAAATTAAGGATTATTGGAAAATCAATCCTCCTTTCTCCTTTTTCTGCGCTAACTCATTCTCCAGTTTGCTTCTTTGGATGAATCAAGTTTGATGATGCCTTGGCTTTTCCATCTTTTCAACAGTAGTATGATTTTTTCTGTGATAAAATAAGCTGGAATTTCCAAGGCGTATGATGTTGAATCCTTATGGTTTCATTTATCATTAGTATACTGTTTTTCACGTTTTTGAGCAGGTGATTGATGGAGAAGAAACGTGAAGCAGCCGCAGCCGAACTTCTTTCCATTCAGATATATGAAAAGCTTTCATCATTTTCAACAGTCTCATCATCTGGGTGTAGTATTTGCAGAGTACCTAATCCACTACGCCAGATAAATGAAAAGGCCTACGAACCTCATATAATCTCAATCGGCCCTTATCATCATGGAAAAGATCATTTGAAAGGCATGGAAGTGCACAAAATGCATTGTCTAGAAAGGCTCCTTCAAAGAGGAAGGGAGACTAGTTTGCAGAGATATGTGATGGCTTTGAAAGGTATGGAAGACGAGATTCGCAAATGCTATGCAGAACCTCTGGATCATATTGGTGGAGATGCACTTGTGGAAATGATGCTCCTTGATGGCTGCTTCATCATTGAGCTAATCAGCTGCGGGAATCAGACTCGGAAAATTAGAGAACTCCGAGAAAAGAACGATGATTTTCGAAATTTCAACGTGGTAAGCGTAATCCGTGATTTATTACTGGTGGAAAATCAGCTGCCTTTCTTTGTACTTTTGAAGCTATTTGATATGAGTACTCTGGAGAATGCTATTTACGATGAAGAAGAAGAGAACGACAAAGAGTTCATTCATAGGTCTCTAGATTTCTTCTCTGGAATGATACCAGGCCCTGGAATTCAAAATTCTATAATAGTGAGCTCTAAAATTCAAAATTCTATGGCACCAGACCCTGAAATTCAAAATTTTTTGAAAATCTATGCCCAGGATATCAAGAATCTACTCAACTTAGTGCGTGTTAGCTGGCTTCCTTCGCCTGAAGCAAGACTTAATTACAAAAAATATTCAGCAGTATATAGTGAATGGAATTTAACACGTAATGCAACAGAGCTCCAAGAGGCAGGAATCAAGTTCAAGAAGATGAATGAGGATGAGGAGAAGAGCTTGTTTGATATAGAGTTTAAGGACGGTGTGCTGTGGATACCTACCATAAGAATGGAAGAGAATACGGACACCATCCTTCGTAATTTGATTGCCCACGAACAATGTTGCTGCGACTGCCCAAGGTATGTCACTGATTATGTCACATTCATGAATTGCTTGATTAACACCGGGAAGGATGTTGAGTTACTCCGTCGCTCTGGAGCTATTGTTAATGGGTTAGGTGATGATGAAGTTGTTGCAACCATATTCAACAGGCTCTGTCACTCAATTGAGTTATCCGAGAAGAACTTCTATTCGGAGATATTTATCAATGTGAGGAAACATTGTGATAGAAAGTGGAGGGTATGGATGGCATACTTAAGGCACAATTACTTCACCACTCCGTGGGCGATGATTTCGTTCCCTGCTGCTGTTTTCTTGATCATACTTACAGCTGTGCAAACCATATATTTGTTTCATTCATATTATCGACAGTAAGTACTGCCAATTTGTTTTCTTAGAGCTTGAAATAAGTGAAACTAAAAGCTCACATGAAAATGTACTCGTTTGATTGCTTGTAATGAAGTTTTTATGCAGATTACTAATGACCTTGCAAGGATTGTATATGTGTATCGCTCATCATGAGATCATATAAGCAAATGCTCTCAGTACCAACAAAGATGTCAAAAAAATACGCCCACAAAGCTCGCACTCTTTCTTATCTCCAAGAGCGGCTGAAACAGGTCATGTCATGTATAAAGAAATTAGGAATTAACACTGTTGATGAATATCATTGTTAGAAATTTGGAAAATATAAATCAAAAACGAAAATTGACACAGATAATTGTGAAACTTTGAATTTTCAAATGTTGTGACTACAGAAGGGAACGCAAGGCGTGGCACTAAGGGCATGTAGTGATGCACTACTTTTAGCCTTATGAATAAAAAAGAACGTTTCTTCCTTACCATGGAGAAATTCGGTGAAGCAGGGGAGGTGCAGGGTACTCTGTTTTGCCCTTTTCCAGTAAGTATGGAAAGGGCCGAGATTTGTCATTATCACTTAGTGTTGAAGCAATGGGTTACACTCGTTTTAAAAAAATGAACGAAACCCGAAACAGCTGTTTGGGATCTAAAGTGATCTTGTTAACATAATTCAAGCATGCATTAACTTTATATAGGAAAGTGTCTGTCATTAATTGATCTAGTGATCATCCGTAAAAAGATGTTTAGAACGTTAAAGTCTTGAATTTAAAACCAAACACTCCCTCACCACCAAGTTTCCCCTGTTCAATATATATATATATAAAATAAACATTACATATGAAAGTTTTTAAAAAAAAAAAATCTATTTTTTTATAATTAGCAAATTAACAGTTCTATTGTCAAAGATAGATCATCCATCCATACAGACCGTAAAGTTTATGGACCATTTGACAAACAACTAGTTCTTCAACCGTACTTGAAGGATTCACACACGTAGAAAATAAGTCTTACAATATGTAACTACAAGCATCCTTACATAATAGTTTATATATAATCCAGGGATATGTATGGAAATCTACCAAAAACATATCAGATTCTCAGACATTGGTGAGACGCAAGTATTTCTTGTTAGATGGAAGGTCCACAGTCTGATAACCGGCAGGGAACATTTCTTTGGCTTGTTCGTCGGTCACACTGGGAGAAATCACCACTGGATCACGCGGTTTCCAGTTCGCCGGGGTGGCAATCTTGAACATTGATGCCTTTTGCAGAGATTGCAGGGCCCTCAATACCTCATCCATGTTGCGCCCCGTGCTTGCTGGATAAAGAAAGCTCAACTTGATCTACACATGCAGATTATGAACCACATGATCAAATCAGTGTTCTAATTTTCTCATTATTTAATTTGTATTAAAAACTAGTAATTAGTGCTCCATTTTAAGCACACCTTCTTGTCCGGACCCACAATGTGCAGGGCTCTAGATGGGACCGGGTTTCCTGAAGAGTCTTTCTCATCCGGGTCCACCATGTTGAGTTGCTTGATGATCTCCGGTTCGGATCTGAAATAATCGGGTATTTCACCTTGCAACCCGGCTGCATAAATAAAAAAATGAATTTTCTTTAAATAATTTTTATTTTATCTAATTCCAAGGAAAATGAACAGAAAAAAAAAAAAAAAACTCACAGTGTAGGCTTCGATGTCCTTAACCCACTCGTTGTGTGACTTTACATCGTCACAAGACAAGCCCAAGAGCTTCACTCCTCTTGAAGCAAACTCCGATTCATAAGCAGCCATCATTCCAAGTTCTGTAATGCATGCCGGCGTGAAATCACCTACACACCCCAAATGGAAATTATTAACTATAACACAAAACATTGAATATTTCCAAGACGAACGAAACGATGAATGAAGAAATTAGAAAACACGTACGAACCAGGATGAGAGAAAAGTATGGACCAACTATTTTCAAAGAAGTCATGGAGCCTGATCTTTCCTGGGTGGTTTCAACTTCGAGGTTGGGGACGGTGTCTCCAATGGTGATACCTGGCATTTTCAAAATAAGGAAGAAGAGAAGATCTTCCAACTCTTTCGCCCTAATTTCTACGCGTTTCTAGTTGCAGTGGAAGGGATGGAAAAGATTGGGGGATTAATAAAACGGTGGAGGGTGGTTGCATGAAGAAAACGTGGCTTAGTGGGAGTCCCTGGAGAATGCAGTTGCGTGCATATCATTGGACGGTACTAATCTTCTTCCACGTGTACTTTGTGCGTTACTAATCAACGTAAGCAAGCAAGATCAACGGTTGTTAAAGAACCAACAATGGATATCTAAACTGATGCTTCATGGTATCTACCGTGGGGGACTAATCAAAAACTGTACAGGAGATAAATAACTAAGTTTAAAAAGATTTACAGTAATCGCTAATCGGGGATGTAGCTCAAATGGTAGAGCGCTCGCTTTGCATGCGAGAGGCACGGGGTTCGATCCCCCGCATCTCCATATTCTTAGTTATTCTTTTCTTTTGCTTCCTATTTTTTCAGCATTTCTTTTTGCAAAAATGTACAGACCCTACGATTGGATTACTGACCGCGGATTTCCATTTCCCGCCAATAAATTTTCGGACTTTTTTTTAACCTATTTTGTTTTTGGTTGACGAATTAGGGTTTTCAGAAAAGAAACGCAGCTGTAGCGTTAGATCCATGGAGGTGGCTCAGATTGCTGAGCTTCTGAATCAGACGCTCAGCCCTTCCGGCGATGTGGTTCACTCGGCGACCGAAGCTCTCGATCGCCTCTCTCTCCTCCCTCACTTTCCTTTTTCTCTCCTCTCCATCGCCAACGGTAAAATTCTGTCTTCCTCAGTCACAAACGCACGATCTGTTTGTTTTCAACTCAAAATTGTTCGTTAAATCTCCATTTCCGGTTTAATTTCAATTCATTGAACTTAATTTTCGATCCACAGGAGGTGGAGATCAAGGCCAGAGAATTGCAGCTGCTACTTACCTGAAGAACTTTGCTAGGCGAAATATAGAGGGCGGTGATGGTTCGCAATCGAAAGTCAGCAAGGAGTTCAAGGACTTGTTGATGCAGACTCTGCTTCGATCAGAACCTGCAGTGCTAAAAGTTTTAGTTGAAACAGTAAGTATATGGTGCTATTTTTTCAGTTCTCTCGTATTAGTTCATGTTGTTTATATATGGAAGCATTTCCATATGTTGGCAGTTCCGGATAATTGCAGCTGCTGAGTTTGTTAAGCAGAATTCTTGGCCAGAACTTGTGCCTGAACTCCGCTGTGCTATTCAGAACAGTAATTCCATAAGTAGTAATGCAAATGGTGCATGGAATACCATCAATTGCCTTGTGGTTCTTCATTCGCTGGTTAGGCCATTTCAGGTACTTGCTGTATAACATTGTGCACATATTTCTGGTAGTCTCTCTAGAAAAGCAATCGGCAATCTTGATTTTCCCTGTTTTGGCAATTGAGACTCTAAATGGCATGTTCTGATTAGAGGATACAAACATATATTTGAACTTTGAAGGTTGTTATCTTCTCTATGTGGCTTTGAATTCATTCTTCTTTCCTGGCAGTACTTTTTGAATCCTAAAGTTGTCAATGAGCCCATACCACCACAGCTTGAGCAAATTGCAGGAGAGATAATTGTACCTCTGTTGGCATTATTTGATCATCTTATTGAAAAGGTTCTTGTCTTTCACTTCTCTCAAGTCTAGCCTTTCCTAATTCCTCAGCTTCAACAACAAACTTTGGTGAACCTTGATTCTAACAGATTTTATGCTGCATGAAACAGGCTGTAGCGACCCATGGTAGAATTGAAGTTGAAACGGAGAAGATCATTCTCATTGTTTGCAAATGCATGTATTTTGCTGTAAGTAATACTAAACAATCCATCAAATAATACTTATCTGCTAGATTTTCTCTCAGTTGTGTAATTATCAATTTATCAGTGTGTGATTATATAATTAATATGATCTCATTCACTAGAGTAATAACCTTTCAACATGCTCTTAGTGTTGATAGTTGCTATTGTTGATGCTTAAGCGGAATAATCCATTGAATTTCTCGTGCATGCTTATTTCATTTTCCTTTCATTTCTGGATTCTCTTTTTTAATTGTTATTAGTTTTATAGGTGAGGTCATATATGCCATCAGCTTTAGCCCCTCTTCTGCCTGCGTTCTGTCATAATGTAATTCGCATTCTTGGTTCATTGAGTCTGGACTGCGATTCTACTTCAGATGATGGGTACTTGCTGAGGTTGAAGACTGGAAAAAGGGTTTTGCTAATTTTCTGTGGACTTGTAACCAGGCACCGGAAATACTCTGATAAGTAATGATTCATCACATACTTTGATTAAGTTAATATATTTCAGTTATTTTTCATGTAATGTGTTTTCCTTTTACAGGTTAATGCCTGACATCATAAACTGTGTTCTGAAGATTGTCAAGTGTAGCTCAAATATTGTTGTAAGTTTCATCTTAATTTCATCAATTATTCAACTACCAATTGCTTGGCTATTGCCTGAACTTCTGGTTGTATGTACTGCATATCTTATGCAGAAGTGCATACCTTGAGTTTCTAACACCTGCAACTTTATTACTTAATGCTTTCTTCTTCATATCATATCTGAACTCAAAAGGATGACATTTTTTATCCTGTAGAAACTTGATTTTCTTTCGGAGAGGATTGTTTCACTTGCTTTTGATGTGGTATCACGTGTTTTAGAGACTGGCCCTGTAAGTCCAATTTGTTGCTTTCACTACTAAATGTGATTGTAATTTCTTCTTAGTTTCTTTTTTCCTTTTTGTTATCCAATTAGTAAAGAATGCTTCATATTTACTACTTTCTAGTTAGGATTTTCTGTTTTGTAATCTAATTTTATGCAATTTGTTAATGTTATTCCCATATGATCTTCTATTTTATTGGAAACAGGGATGGAGGTTAGTTTCACCCCATTTTTCATTTTTGTTGGACTCTGCAATCTTTCCTGCATTGTTACTGAATGAGAAGGTGAGATTTTAAAATCATAAAAATTCACTTCATGCTTTGAAAATAAATCTTGAGTCACTTACATTGCTTGCATTTCATGTTGTCAATCAGGATAAAATGGAGTGGGAAGAAGACGCAGATGAGTTCATTCGGAAGAATCTTCCATCTGAACTTGTATGAATTTAATATTATTCCTTTACCATGTTCCTGTTCATATTTGGCTGTAATAACATCACTGTAATTTGTATCCAGGAAGAAATTTCTGGATGGAGGGAGGATTTGTTTACAGCCAGAAAAAGTGCTCTGAACTTGCTTGGTGTTATTTCAATGTCAAAGGTCTGTGCTAGATGATTGTTGCTGTACGTCTCTAAATAATATTGCTTGCTAGATTTCCTGCTTATATTTCCATTTAATGCCTTCAGGGTCCTCCAGTAGGAAGTAATTCTAGCAGTAGCTCTTTAGCTTCAAGCAAGCGTAAGAAAGGTGAAAAGAATAAGAGTAAAAATCAGCGCAATTCTATGGGGGAGTTGTTGGTGCTTCCATTTTTGTTTAAGTTTTCCCTTCCTTCAGATGCTAATGCTTCAGAAGCTAGAATTTCAAATGAGTAAGTTCATGAACACGCGTACCAAATATAAACAGTTAACTTCTATATTGTAGTTGAAGCCCTGTTTTCCTTTAAAATTTAAAAGCCAAGTGTTTCCACTGGAAAAAAAATGTACTTCACAATTAATATTGAGGGTCTAGCAGCAATTCTCTTTCTCTCTCTCTCTCTGCTTTTGTCCTCCACCCTCCTTTCCCTTTAAGAGCCCATAAAACTTATTGTTCTGTTGCTTCTTTTGTTTCCTCCTTTTTTCTATGTGGCACCATTCTTATTCTAATGTTTCTATTTTAGGTGTTTCTCATAGCATCATTAGTTTTATTTTCTTTTATTTTTCTCATTCATTTTGTATGTCGACTGTTGCAGTTATTTTGGTGTTCTGATGGCATATGGTGGTTTGCAAGATGTAAGGAAATCTGAACTGTTCTTTTCAGTCATTGATGAACCTTTGTTTAATGAGTCTGCATCAATGTATTTAATTTTACTATTTCATCTGTAGTTCCTAAGGGAGCAGAAACCTGGATATATAGCAACTCTGCTTCATTCTCGCGTGCTGCCTCTGTATTCAGTTTCCGTCTACTCACCATACTTGGTTGCTGCGGCCAATTGGATACTTGGAGAACTTGCATCATGTCTACCAGAAGTAAGACAGTTTCTTTCTCATTCTGTCTGCTCAGCTTCTTCCCTTGGGAGCTAATATTTTCTTTTGCTATCATAAATTTACTTTCCTTTTTGCAAAGTACTATCATTGAGCATTGGTTTATTTAAAATTTAATGCACTAAATTGGCATCTTTATTCAATTAGAATATTGTTTTCAGGAAATGAGTGGAGATGTATATTCCTCATTGCTTAAGGCTTTAGCTATGCCAGATGAGGATATTTCTTGTTATCCTGTGCGAGTTTCAGCTGGGGGGGCAATTGCTGGGCTTCTTGAGGTGGCTTTGAAGTCAATATTTTGGATTTTTATATTGTAAATCACAATATCATTACATTTTGTCGCCTTTCTTTTATCCTTTTTTTACCCAGAATGACTACTTTCCACCTGAGTGGTTACCGCTTATTCAAGTTGTGATCAGTAGGATTGGTAAAGAAGATGAAGAGAACACCATTTTGTTTCACCTTCTCAGTTCTGTGGTGGGGGCTGGAAATGAGAATGTGGCTGTTCACATCCCTTATATTATCACATCATTGGTTGATGCGATCTCAAAGTGTATACATCCTTCCTTGGAGCCATGGCCTCAAGTATGTTTGTGTTAATTTGGCTAGAGTGGTTGCTTTTTACCTTTCATTGTTCAACAATCAATCTTTTGATGTCTTGTTACTCTACTTAGTGATTCCATACCAAAAGTTTAGCTTTCATTGGTTACCAATCATCCACCTGATATTTGCTTATGAGGCATATGTCTGTTTACATGCTTATGTTATGTGCATTTATAGATGCAGATTTTCTTTCCCTGCTAGAATTTTAGAGCCCTGGAATTCCTAATCAGTGACTGATTGGATTTGAAATTGGGTTTCAGATTGTCATTGTCCCCTAGATTTTTCCACATCAAATTGGTTGGTTAACTCAATAGTCTGAACTCTGAAATGAATTACCGTTCATGACAGGTGGTTGTACGAGGCTTCGAATCATTAGCAGTGATTGCTCAATCTTGGGAAAACTTGATGCCTGGAGAGGGTGAGCAGGATAAATTTAATGAAAAGTGGGCAGCTAGTCAACCTACCATCAGCAAAGCTCTGTCATCTCTCTTACAACAGGCTTGGCTTATTCATCCTGTGGTTAGTCTTCTATCCTCTGTAATATTTTATTTTATGAGCCCTGTTTTATTTGCCTCGCCTCTGGCCTCTGAGTTATGAAGAGTGTTCAGGATTATAACATTTGTGTCTGGTTAGATATAGAAAGATAGAACATACTGCTGGTGGGTTAGCATGACATGCTGTAAATTGAACTAAAGGAATAAAGATATTGTTTTTTTTTTTTTTTTCTCTTTTGGTTTATGCTTTAAGTAAATTTATGTTTCTTTCAAATCCATAAATATCCATGTTATGTTTCTTGTTCAAATGTTATGGCAATCTGCTTATTAGTATTAAGTTGGTAGTCTTTGTTCCTTTAGGTCATTGCAAGGATGGGTTCAAGGGTCCAGACAATGTAGATTGCTTTGCCAGTGGTTTTATTTTATCAGTTGATTCTTTCTTACCATGAAATAGCATTTAACTTATCTGTATTATGTGTACTTCCAATTACTTACTTTTCCTTGAATTCTCACAAGGACCAGGAAAATGAAGTGTCTCCGCCTCCATCATGCATAGATAATTCATCAACATTGCTAAGGTTGATTATTCTCTCTGTTACTGGGAAGAATGAGCTCCTGGATCTTAAATTGCCCGAGTTACTACTGGTTTGGGCCAACCTGATTGCAGATTGGCATGCTTGGGAAGAATCAGAGGATATGTCTGTATTTGACTGCATCAAGGAAGTTGTTAGTCTGCATAATAAATATGGCTTGAAGAATTTTACTACTAGAGAATTGCCACCTCCTCCTGCTCCACCTGTGGCAGAACGATCTATTGTTGAATCAATTGCTGCATTTGTCAGTGAGGCCATTTCACAGTATCCATCAGCAACATGGAGGGCTTGCTCGTGTGTTCATATACTATTACATGTTCCAAGTTACTCGTTTGAAATTGAAGCAGAAGGTGTGAAGAAATCACTAGTTATTTCATTCAGCCAGGCAGCATTTTCTCGTTTTATAGGAGTTCGAAGCAAGCCAAATCCAATATGGAAGCCTCTGTTGCTAGCTATTGCATCATGCTACCTGTGTTATCCTGATACTGTGGAGGCAATTTTAAATAAGGAAGAAAATGGAGGCTTCGGGATCTGGGCATCTTTTCTGGCTTGTACTCGTAATATCTCTTCTGAACATGATCTATTGTCGAAGTCTGAGATAAAGTTAATAGGTTCGTGTCTTTCATTCCTAAAATGGTTCAATTTCTTTTCCTATATCATTAATATAAAGCTAATCAACAGAGTAAGATATCTCTGTTACGAATGTTTTACTTTGCTTAACTTTTTTGAATAATACCACAGTGATGACATTGGTGAAGGTGGTTGAGAGGCTATTGGAAATAGGAAACTCAAGTGGTGTATTGTTACATGATTGCTTTAGTTCACTGATTGAGACATCTATACAACTAAAAGAATTCCATGAAGAAGTGGAAGATGAAGAAAATGATGAAGCTGAAGATGATGAAAATGGTGATGATGACAACTGGGAAGACATCCAAGATGATGATGAGGTTTGAATTTCACAATATCTTGACATACCTAATCATCTTTGCCATTGTTCCATGAATGAAAATGTAATTGACAGCCAGAAACTGAAAAACATTGAATTTTGAGGGATGAAGCTGATTTTTTTGCTACCTAAACTTACAATGTTTTCTTTGGGATTAGGCATGATGCATTTTGCCCTAAAGTATCTAGTCTTCTTCAATGTTTGGTTGTCTGAGCAATGAAATACATGCTACTTTCTTTTATTAGGATTCTGAGAGTGATGAACATGAAGAAACTGAACAAGAGTTTTTGGAAAGGTATGCTCAAGCAGCCACTGCCTTAGAGAACGGTACAATTGTTGAAGAAGGTGATATCGAAGACCAAGAACATGAGGTTGAGTTGGGTAAGCCTATTGATAATCTGTTTTTACGTTTATTAGCATCCATTCCAAAACGGGTAAGTCTATTGATGATCATTTTTGGTTCCCCTGGTGGGAATGCAGGTGCTTTGGAAGAAGTTGATCAGCAGAGTATTGTCTTGTCATTGATAAGCAGATACTACAACGTTCTTATACAGGGACAATCTTTGTCGTCCCAGCTGGTTACGAGATTCTTAAATGCTTTCCCTGAGAGTAGTTTGTTCTTCCAGCAATCCATGTGACAGAATGTTTAATGATGCTGCGAATAAAATTGGTAGAGGAAGAAGAGTGATATTTGTATCTTCATGATTTTTTTGTATTTTGGGTTGTAGTTTTAATTTTCTTGGATGTTCTGCTAGGGTTTTTCTTTAGATTTTTTTTTTCCCATACAAAGAGGCAGAATCTTCATGATTATCCGTATTTTAGCTCGTATGTTTTAGTCATTCTCGTCAGTCGTCAGTCCATGAGAAGCCAGCAGCACCTCCATGACATATACACCCTTACGAACTGCACTACCATTCCTTTTCTTTTTTTTTTCGCTTAATTCAATGATAGGTATACTAATTATTAGTTTAATTTCATTTTAGTCTATAAAGTTGGTTTTTTTTATAAATAGTTTATAAATTTTATAAAATATTTTAAAATAATTCACCATACAAAACTTTCATTAATTTTAATAATAGAATAATAAAAATGTTAAATCAAAATTAAAATAAAATAATCTTAATCACCAAAACAATTTATGATAAATTATGTAAACTATTAAAATATATTAATAATTGTAATTTTTACTTCAAAGAATTGTTATAAAAAAAGAGTTAAAATAACATATTATAAAAGTTACAATTTTTCAGCTAATGAAAAAGAACTCATCTTTACAAAATTAATTTTATCTCAGAATTAATTTTAAGAAATAAATATTTACAAAAGATATAATTGAATAGTAATTTAATTAATTAAAGTAAAATTGCTATTAAAAAGTTAACAAATTAGACTAAATTAAAACAAAAATAAAAAAATAATAGATGAATATGAAAATATCTAAAAATAATAAATAAAACACAAAAATACAGAAATTAACAAACCATTCATTAAATTAAGCCCATCAAATTTTAAGGGTTTGAACTTTAACCAGTTAGGGATATGTGCAGAAGACTTTCTTTCTATTTTTCATTCTTTGTTTGAAGTGACTGAGGCATTTAGTAATTCCATGTGGGAGGACCAGAGGAGGCTGCTTATGATTGATGAACAACAGTTTTATTCACCATTGCTCTCTTGTTGGCACAAAATAACAAATGCTGTCCAATAAATTTGCAACGAACAAACAGTACAAAAGCAACGTATGGATGATCTATAGTAGATCTAACGAATTTTGCGGAAAAAAATGAAACAACGAAGGAAAACCATAACGGTGGGAATGCTACTTAACAGTCAAGACCGTGATATTTATTAGAAACACCAGTACTAAAAAGTAAAACAAGATGTAAGGAAGAGCTGAATCTTCCATCCTGCCACTTTAATTTTTTTTAGAGAACAAAATCTAGAAGTAAAAATAAACACCTGCATAACTCGTAGTGGCTGAAATACCTATACTCCTGACTGGTTCTGGTTCAACCAAACAAATATTAAATGACCTGCCCGAATCCTCAAGCCTGAAATAATTAGATTTCAAATTAGCATAATGTGTAAATACTAAGCCACAATCAGCAAAAAATTGAGAAACAATTGAAAAGCATGAAATAGGATTTTCTTTTTCTTTTTCTTTTTCTTTTTTTTTTGGGGGGGGGGGGGGTGTGACACTGACATACCTTGCTTGCAATGTTGTTCGAAAGCCAATCCAATCCCTCATACAGCCCTTCTCCAGAAGTAGCACAAGTGCTCTGAATATACCTGCATAACATCAACAATGTATCACGCAGTTGCTCAAGTTCATGAAGGTTGCTCTTTGATATTCTTCCATCTTCTTTAGGTTAGGAACAAAGGAAAGATGTCCCTGATTGAGATTTTTTAACTTTACCAGTGGCGTTGTCGCAGAGAATGAAGGCCAAGTTTGTCAGTGATCTCAGCAGCATTCATTGCATTTGGAAGATCTTGCTTGTTTGCAAACACAAGCAGCACGGCATCCCTCAATTCATCCTGTGAAGTGATCAGGCTAACCATAAGGTTCTCTAAGAAAGTTCCTTTTTTTACTTACATTATAAATTTATTCATATGAAAGAATGCATATTTATCAACCCAGATCAGGTTGAGGATGGCAGTTTTCATACCTCATTCAACATTCTGTGCAGCTCATCTCTAGCCTCCACAACACGATCTCTGTCATTGCTGTCAACCACAAAGATAAGCCCTTGTGTGTTCTGGAAGTAGTGCCTCCACAGAGGTCGAATCTGAAAATGATGAGTGACATGACTGATCAAAATCCCAAAAAGACAGTATTCTAAGCAACTCATGATGCAATCACATAACAATTAAGGGAGCAACAAGGATAATGTTTCTTCTATCAACAATGAGTAATAGGATATTAATTTTACAATCCCACAGCAAATCTCCATACGTGTGAAAGAATAGAAAGAAGAAACTTAACACCATTGGTGTTATACCTAAACTATGCACATAAGCCATTTATTTTCCCTAGACAATAGCAATAATAATAATAATAAAAGCCTAACACAACAAAGATGCAACCAAGATAGCAGTTAATAACAAGATCAACTATCATGAAACTTTCATTAGGCAAGTTATCATAGCATCTAAATAGTAATAATCTGTCCTAAAATTGTATATAGAAGAGAACATGACGAAGCAAAAGTTACTAGTATACATTGACACAAGCAAACATCTAATTTTACCATGAGCAATGTCATGTACCTTGTCCTGACCACCGACATCCCAGACAGTGAAGCTAATGTTCTTGTATTCCACAGTCTCCACATTGAACCCTGACAAAATAGAGAACAAAAAGGTGATTCAAAATCCCAGTGGAACCAGTACATAAGTATATTTCAGTGTTATACCAATGGCTAAACTTAAAAAAGATAACAAATTCACGAAGTCTAAGTTTTTACATAATATTTTAGAGCTCTTAAAAAGACTAATTTTAACTGAATCTACACCAATGGCCTATGTAATTACATATAAGTAAGAGATCATTAAGTAGACACAAAGTTAAAATATTTAATAAAAGTACCAAGTGCCACAACATTTACACACAGTGTGTCAAAAGATGACTCTAGTCAAGAACAATCCAAGAAAGAAAGAAGAAAAAATTCATTTAAAAAATGAATAAAGCAACATAAAACCAGACCTACGGACATGTAATTCATTTAAAAAATGAGAGGAAACATACCAATGGTAGGGATGGTAGTAACGATTTCACCTAGCTTGAGCTTGTACAAAATGGTGGTTTTACCAGCAGCATCAAGACCAACCATCAAAATTCGCATCTCTTTCTTAGCAAAAAGCCGACTGAAAAGTTTGGTGAATGACAGCCCCATATTCACGTCTAACATAACAGGAAATCAAAACGAAAGAAATCTACTAAGTACACAAATAATGATTGCAAGTATTACAATATATACAAGGACCACTTGAAACCACTGAGGTAACTAAGAACCAAGAGAAAAAAAAATGATCTAATAACTAATAACCAAAAAGGAAAAATAAGACAGCCTATTTTTCTTTGATCATCAATAAGAAAGCTTAAAAAATGAAGAGACTTCCATGATATAGATGCAAGCTTAAGCACAATAACAAATAAAGGCTACAATTGATCCTAAACTAGACAACTATTAGCATCACCGCATGAAACCACACAACATGTTTATCATATTAATGCACATCAACTGCTTTCCATGCACGGATCGATGCCTCAACCAGTCAAAACCCGGACAACAGAAAAATAAACAAATATGCAAAGCAAAATCATGCAAATGTAATTCATTCACGGATTGTATTCAAAGGCTCTCAATTATCTGAGTTCCTGAGAACGCGACTGCAGCACTAATTATCTGAATCTCAAATTCACGATTCCCAAACATTCTATGTTCATGTAAAACGTCTTAATTCTCACTCCTATAGTTTAAAAAAGCAAAAATCTAATTATCTTCTGCAAATCCTAGCAGACGCTTAGATCAAAGCAATCAAAACAAACTGCGCATCCATTGAAATCAAAATCGAAAGCCGAATCTCATAAACCAACAAAGATCCATCAACATTCGAATAAAATAAATTACCACCACAGATTCGACTCAGCAGATTAACAAATTTAGTAGTAACACTAGAAAATAGATCAGATCTATGCAGGAGAACTCAAAAACTATGATCTCCGATCCATTTCAGATAACAGATCGAGAAGAAATAACGAGAGAGAAATAGAAAAAGCAAACTTACAGATGAAGAACAATGAATATCGAGATCTGATCCGAGCAGGAGCTGTCGACGGAGGAGGATTAATTGGAAAGAAGAGGTGTGTGTTGATTGAGTCTCCCTTATAAAGGCCGTCGACGAAGACGGACCACGGAAGGTTTATTTTTAAATTTAAAAAATGTCGTTTTTTTTTTTGGTAATATTTTATTATTATTCGTTGGGTCAACGTTATGTAAATTAACCACCGTTCGGCCACAAGACCGTGTTTGGCCTTTCTTTAAAAAACCATATTTTTTTCCCGCTCATTTTCCTTCCGGATTTTTCTTTCTTGGAAAAAAAAAAAGTTTGTTTTTTCTTTTCTTTAGCAGAAAACGTTTTTTTCCCCAGAAAAATCCAATCTCTTTTTGCTTTCATTTTTTATTTGTTAAAAAAAAAATCTTATTTTCCTGTTTAAATTACACAAAAAAATTTTCAATGCCTTTATACCACACTAAATTTAAATTCAAAAATCAAATTCTAACTTATTGATTCAATTATGTTTAAAATTATTGCAAAATACTATAATTAATTTTTTAAATATTTTATTATAAAAAATTATATTATTATTATTGGATATTTACTTTAAAAAAATGTTATACATTAAAACTATTAAGTTATTCAACAAATGAATTAAAATTAATTTAATTATAATAAATTAACATTTTTATAAAATACATAATGAGCAAACCCAATAGATTAAAAACCCCCAACACTACCGAGGTTTTTGAGATGGAATGTAAGGGCAACATTATTTCACAATTCTAAGAAGACTGTAACAGAAAAAGGAGAAATTTTCCTTTTCATTTTTTCTTTTCTTTTGTTTGTTACATAGGAAACAAGATGAAACAGCTAAATTCTAAAGAATGAGTGCCAAAATTATACCCCAGCAGAAACAGCAGGGAATGGAGAAATCTGAGATAAAACCTATCTGAAAAAGACTGCTTAAACCAGTCATGCTGCCGCCATTTGAAATCTGGAGACTTCTCCCCCTTCTCCTTTTTCAGAAATGTGATTGTGAGTTGTGAGGTGCCCTAATCAAAATGCTTTGACTTCTGGAAACTACTGCAATACAACAAACCAGTGTCTTTCTCTGAAATTGTCATTCATTCTTTTACAGACAATCTCTCTGCTTAGTTAAAGGCATCAGGAAAACAAAGAAAGAGATATGTTAGCAGTTGTATATTTAAAATCTAAACGGGCTGATCCAGAGCTGAAGTGAAACAGGCAATCTAATCTATTTATGGGGTTTAAAATATGACTGCATTTTCCAACATTTCACCATCCTAGACAAAGATGGTAAAAATTTGTGTGATGTCAAAGATTTCAGAGATAAAAAATCTGTTGTTTCAAAATAGGGAAGTGAACCTGTTTGATCTAGAACAGATAATTGGCAGATTGGAAACCAAACAATGTCCTTATACGTGCACAGTCAAGCTCTGGGTCTGCAGATATTAAAAATAAGATAGGAGAGAGGTCAACATACTTATCAGTTCATAGGTGACTATCATTGTGGTTCCATAGAGTGACATATTTAAAAATCGAGGTCCAAACCCTCTATAGAAGCCCCATAAACCATCTCCCTCCAGAAGTGTTTTGGTTGTCTTAAGTACTGATGGTCTTCCAACACCATAGTTATCCATGACCTTGATGTAAAGAGAGAAAGCAGGGAAAGATAACACAGCCAATATGTCAGTGTTAGTTCAAGTTCGACATAACCAACAACTTGCCACTCCAAAAACAGCATTCTGAAGAAATAAATTTCCTTCCAAATGATACAGTAATGCAATATCAACAGAGGCCAACACAAAGCACATACCTGTAGTCTTGTCTTTATTGTGTCAATAGGAGTGGTAATTACTGAAGAGCAAGCACCAGCAATCATTCCTGCTGTGGCTTGTACTGTCACCATCTCTGTATGAGACGGCTTCTTCTCCATGTCATCTCTATAGCCCAAGCTCCTAAAATAAGAGTCATTTAAAGCATTTCAATCTGACACAACAATTCAACGTAACAGCAGAGAATATCACAACAGCAACTAGCTTACCTCCAAATCATGTGTTGAGCAGCACCGTACACACCCCACCAAAGTGCAGATGCTGGAGACTGGGTCACAACAGTTAACCCAAAGCCTCTATACAGTCCACGAAGCCCTTCAGTCTTTATTACTTTACGTACAACATCAGAAGGACCATTACAAAATGTCGTTCCAGGAAGTCCTTGGACCATAAGTCTCTGACATATCTAGAGCAACAAAAGAAAAAAAAAAAAAAAAATCAGTCCATCTGCAGGCATGTTGTCATCAGATATGGGAATTCAGCCTGAACCTAAAGTGAGGTTCCTATAGAGGGAAAGTTGCATGAAGAAAAACTAAATTTCATACCAAATTAATCCTCAAATTTCATACCAAATTAATTTTCAATATGCAAGCTAATAACAATCACCTGATCTGGAATGACTAAACCTATTGCCACGAAATCCGACCTACATTCATCCAATCTTCATGACAATTTGACAAGTACAAAATAAGAGAAGGTAAAACACCAGCACAAAAATTTGACCTTTTTATCATGAATTGTTTAAATCTTATTCTATCATGATGCTTAAATTCATAGTCAAAAAACCTCCAAAAGGTACAAGATTAAAGCAAGTTTGCTTACCACATCCAAAGGAACCCAGCACGCACAAGAGATTATGTTTGACATCATGCCTGCCACTCCATTTGCAAGGCCAACCCGCGTTGCTTCTGGCATATCTAGATGCTCAGTATATTTGAACATCAATTCCTTTGACATTTCAAGCGATGTTAAACTCAAGACTCTACCAGGCAGTGATCCAATAGCAGAAGTTCCAAAACCCCGAAAAATCCCAGGGATGCCATCATTCCTCAGTATATGCTTGAAAACCGTTACTCCACGCATGTGAGCAAACCCAGAATCAGCTACCTGCATTCTGGTCTTCACAACTGCTGTTGGATGTAACAAGGCCTGCTGGGCAGTAAACAGGATAGCCCCTATAACATGAAACCTTGTCTTGTCCAGCCTAAATTGGACAACAAATGTTAGTTTTAGCTTTAATGTAAGCAAAAACCATGAAAATGAGCCAAGAACTAGCTTGTATATGAACTAAATTGACAAAAATATGGAATGATCAATTGCGTTTCTGCTACCGAAGGACCTTAGATGATATGAATTACCTGGCCCAGTTAATATCCGTGTCAGCAAGGGCGGTCAACTGAGGAGCGGCGGCGGTGGCGTCGGTTTCCATGGCCATAGACTTCAGCCCTTCAGCTCCGCTTACAGCTTTGATCGGTAACGAGTTTCACCGATGATTTTGCTGCTCCGGTGGGTTGAATTTTGGAAAATGGCACCGTCTTTGTTTCTCTCGGGTGGGGAACCGTCTAGAAAGTTCCAGGACTCTTGCGGTTTGTTTGGCGAGGTGGTGGAGGGCTGAGGCTCAATTTTTAAATACCTTCCCTCGTTTTAGGGAACTAGTTAAATACTTTTCCTCGTTTTAGGGAACCCGGACTTTCTGAGTTTTTAATTTATTTCTAATTATGATATGTATTTTATTGGAGAGAATAATAAAAATAAAAATAATTTGTATATTATCACAATTAATATTATTTTTATATAAATTTATTGTATTTTTATATATTCCAATCTTATATAATATATCTAATTAAATAATTACTCTCTAATGTATATATTTAAACCAAACTGAATGTTTTCAAAAGTCATAACATTACTATTCTATTTAATTCACATTTTAGATATTTATTTTTAAAAAAAATTAGTTAATTTTTTTTTAAATAAAGAAGTTGTTGTGTTTCAAAATCAACCAACGGCTTCAAACAATAAAACATGAATTACCAGACATGCCTTGACAACCAAAAAAAAAAACCCAAAAGGGGCAAAAATATATTAAGAGAGCCAGAGAGTGTGTTTGGTTAGGGAAAAACATTTTTTCCTAAATTTTTTCTTTTACTCTTATTATAAGTAGTAATAAGGGGAGTTGAATCAACTTTACTATATTTCTTTCTTCCTCCTCTTCTTTTGTCTTTCAAAGAATAAGTTTAATTTTGTATCAATTTTGTAAATACTTTAATCTTTAAAAGTACTTTTGTAGGTAAAGGTTTTAAATTGAGTAATGATAATTAGTGTAATTTTTATAAATTTTTTTATTGTAGGTAAAGGTTTTAAATTGAGTAATGATAATTAGTGTAATTTTTATAAATTTTTTTATCTATTTTATAAATACATTTTACTTAATTTATATTTAATTTTATTTATATAATTTTTTTCATGTCTTTATTCTTTTAAGACTATTTTTATAATTTTTTTTACTTTATCTATTTGTGTAAAAATATTTTTTAATTTAATCTTAAAATTTATTATATTTTAAATCAAATAAATTAAGTTTGATAGAAAAATTTTAATTTAACAAATTTTTATCATAGAGTATTAGAAGATTCTTAAACGTATTAAAATATCTATAAAGTAGTTATTTAATATCATTTTTTATATATTTTATGTTAATATCTATTTTAATAATAATTTTTTAAAGACAAAAATATATCTCAACAATCTACAAATAGGTTTAATAATGCTAGTTACAATAAAAAAAAAGAGTAAAAATAATATTTTTAGTCTTTATATTCCCTTGATTCAATTTTTAATAAGAAAAACTTTTTTCTCAAAAATTTTAAAAGAAAAAAATTTCTCTTAATCATGCCTATTTAGAATATTTTTGACAACTTTTCCCTAAGTTTTCATATGTCAATTTTTACTAGAGATAAAAAAATTAATAATCTATTAAATTTTAATAATATTTCATTAAAAAGAATTAGTAATTTTATATACAATACTTCTTAACTCTTTCAAACAATATAATTCTTTTTTAATAACTATTTTAATAAAAAGAAATAGTGCCTATTAGCCTTATCTTTTAAAAATTATGAAGGAAATCATCTCAAAATTACGTCATTTCAATAAATTTTTATTAAAAAAATAAATTACTTTATTTTTAAAGTATGCATTAAAGTAATTTTTATCATCTTTTTCATAATCTTTTAGAGGTAAACTGTACCAACAAAATTAGCTCTACCTAAACAGGCGCCAGATCGTTGGTAATGGCAAACATTTATTAAAGATATTGTGTGCGATCAACTGGTCATTGTTTAAAGTAGAAGGACCTAATTAAAATTTTAAATTTAAATTTTATGAATGAAAAGGTAAATATTATAAAATATTTTTTTATAAAATCTGATTTAATTTGACTCAATTTAAGTTTGTATTAGTTAATATTGAATGTAATTTTTAGGTATTAAAACTTTAATAAAAAAATAGTTTATTTGTTTTTTTTTTTTTTGAACAGTTTTGTCATGTGGCGGATTCGAAACCCACCCAGGAGAGGGGATGTGCACTTTTCAGTGGCTAGAGCCACACGGGGCCAAGTGCAAATAATTTATTTGTTTATTTGTTTGAAAATGTTTTGTGGATTAAATTGAATAAAATTGTAAAATATTAATTTTTAAATAAGAGGTGGGTCTATTAATATAGAGTTTTTATTTTTTTTTCTAATTTAATACCATTTACAAGACAAAAACAGTAATCTTATATATCTTAAAAGGAATTTTTTTATCATATATCCTTAAATATA